GTTGGGTGACTTTTAGGTTAATTAGACGTTCGTTCTCGCGATGATCGATTGTGCGAGACCAGGGGGTAGTAGCCTTTGTTCTACGACGTTGAGAATTTTCGAAGGCCGCTAAGAGCGATGGAGGAACCTTCGCGAATCCCAAGACGACTCTTCCGCGAGGATTTCCACTCTACTTTCCTCAGAGTCTCCTCTATCCTTCGGTAATCCGGCTTGTTTGCGCTGTTCGAGCAACTGCTCGTCGTCGACTTTGTCAGCAAACTTCGAAGGTTCAATCGATTTTTGAACACCGGTTTCAGGATCGATTGGAGATCATGGGTCGTTGGTTGAAACGTAGTGGCGAGTGAAAATACGTAGAGAAGTAAGGGTAAGAATACTTCCAAGCGTCTCCTGGCCTGCGCTCAGCAGACCTACGGACGGCATAGGTTTATGATGGAGGTTTGGAAAGGTCGCGGATGTGTTCCTCAGATGTTATCACCTCCCACATAGAACCTGATCACGTACTGTTCCTGTCATAGCACTCGTTCTGTGCCTCAACGTAACATATATTATAGGATGAACTGAAAGGTTCATCTGATGTTTATACAATCAAAGGTTTGGTTCGAGTATTTGAGATTAGGATGCAAAAGCATGGTTACCCTGGGTTTTACATGGACGCGGCCAAATGTCTCCGAGGAATTTCTGCAGAGTTTGTTTAAATTGAGTGAAAGAAATAGAGATAGGAAAAGGGAGATGGGGAATGGGCAAACACGAGGGTATATGTTAAGGATGCATGCATGAGTCAGCTTCAGTGAGTCCACAGAGAGTTTTCAGATTGTCATTTGTGTGGGTCGTTTATGAGCTTCGCTCTTAATTCAATGAAGATTTATTTTAGAAACTTGTTATATCAGCGGAATAAAAATATTATAAATTATAACGATGCAAAGTTGTTTAACTATCGTCACCTTTCGTCCTGAATTATAATATTTCTGCTTTTCAAGTCTCTACGTGTCAATTTCTGTTTACTTATCGCATCTATGCAAACTAAATGAAAATATTTTTAATAATCGACAATGAAATATTGAACACTTTTTACTAAAAAAATTCAAACACTTTTTTATTTTATTAAGTGACAAATTTTTTAATTACAGTTAAATTCTCGAATTATGAAAAATGTTTCTAAGCTGTAAGGAATTTTGGGAAACTGATTAATTTAAGGATGTTAATTTCAACAGACGATGGCTGATGAGTATCAGTTTGATGGATACTATGTGTTTTGGGAAATACAGATCAAGTATTACAATATGATTGACATACGATCAGATTCAATAGGCTGGCTACGTGCTATCTATAATTAATAGCTGTTTAATCGCATTCGGAATTATACCGGTTCGGAATTGATGGTATTTGATAGTTTCGTTGCAATCTCGAGAAAATTTGGGGATTACATGCACTTCTATAGTAGCTACGTTTGTACGTTTATCACGAGTCTGATGACTTTTCTGATTCACATTTGGGATAAAGTGTCAAACAGAAAGTGACAGTAGTAATTAGTAATCTCTGTGGAATTTACAAAAATAAACAAATTTCCAGGGAGAGTATTTTAAATTTAATTTTTGAAAACGGTACGTGTTAATTAAACTCTGGCTTGAAACCTCTCTGATATTGACTAAAGACTTTGAAATTGGTTGATTTTGACATCGTGAGTTAAATAAATATTATACGCAGGTGAGATCGAGAGGAAAATGATATACAGTATTCCAGGCTGATAAACTACAATTCGTGTTTAATTTTTAATTAAATTACTTCAGCTAAAAATTAGAGAAATGTGTCTTCCTCTTCAAAAACAATTTTCATTTTAATATCAACAAATTGTAACTTGAATAATATAAAAGAAATTCATGAGATTAAGCAGAAAATTGTTATCCAGATATTCCCTTTCTTATTACACTTTATTTAAAAATTCTTTGCATTACGAATTTTAAATTCTTCCAATAATTTGAAAAATCTGAAGAAATAGATATAACCATAAGCGAACTTTATGTTACGACGTCAATGAATCCTCAAGCGGACCACTGTTATCAATTTCAAACGATAAACCCACTATATCCAGCGCGATCGTCGTAAGAACAGACATCGCCACTCAGGATATTAAAACCCCTGCATTACGTCGAACAGAGAACTAACACGTAACGTGCCTCTAACAGAAAGTAATTTCCTAAAAACAGCACATCAACGCCACACACGCCATCTAACTCCAACAATGTATTCTTCTGGATGCATTCACGCGAGAGCACAGAAGCGTTCCAGATACTTCACTTGCACGGTTCCGTTTCTCATTTCTAATCTCCACCTTCTGCAATTAGGTTAATTGAGTAACGTAGCCGAAAACGCCTTTCGAATCACGCGCCATTTCTAACCTCGTCACCGCGTCGCGCCGCGAGTGGCGCTGCGGTCGCGCGCCAAGGATCTGGCCCCGATATTCTATCTAGCACGCTCGAGAACCGTGCCGGCGGCGATAATTACTGGCCTAACTCTCCGTCGGTTGAAAGATTTACACGAGCCCAAACTTCGATTCGACCGCTTTTTCAGCTTTTTACAGTCTCGACTACGATATAATGAATTTAAGCTTCTATTGGCTCGAGAACTTAGCTAATTGAGACTCGTTAAATAATCCCGAGATAAAGGCATTATGAGGCACTATTTTTTTCGAGATGGAACGAGAGGCTCTTGCAGTCTTTAGCTGCAACTATCGGAGTAAAGGAGAGGAAGAATTTATTAAATTAATATTGCCTTCGAGGGAAATCAAGAAGGCTCTGTTTCTGCTGATGAGGCTGATAATTTGGGAACAACGATGATGGTGTAATTAGATGTTCTACGTTGTTCCACTTCTAGGGGATTTTGCGTTGTTAGTTTGGGTTGGTACTGCTCAATTAGACTCTTAGTTTTTATTCCCCTTTTGCTACGAAATTTTTGTGACTATTGTACAATATCGTGGAATTTAGTATTTGCTGATGAAGCTGGTAATTAGAAATAACGATGACGGGGTAATTAAGTTTTATGCTTCTCCATTTTCAGGAATTTTTTAGAATTTTGGAAGACGTAGAAAAAATGTAGAATTTTTTGTGTTATTACGTATTGTATTTAAGTGAATACGTTTAATTTAAATTTTCGGGCACGTATTGTACTTTCGGAATAAAATTCAATTTTTTAAAATCCGAATAATATAGAGCTTTTTCACAACCGATTAAATTTAAACGACGAATTGTTTTATGAGGGATTTAAAAATTTATTAACGTAGGAATTACTAAATGAAAGATATAATATGAAAATAGAGGAATTTGAAAATGTCACTGAATGATTTCTATCGGAACATGATAAATGCATTAAGGTTTCGATTAATTGGGGAATACAAAGACACGTATGACCAGAATACAATTTATTCTTCCCTCGATAATAATGTAGGAGCTTCGAATTTTGCTGAAAATATTGTTTACGAATTGTTCTGAATTTATAATAGATATTGATTGCAGATTCCAGTTTTTTCAGTTGATAAGTATTCTTGTAATTTATTTCAATCCTGTTTCGTACTGCTAATATAATTTCAATTGTGGAGTTTAATTAATAACTTGAATTTATTTTTTAAAGTATGAAATATAATTTTTTAGATAAGACATTCCTTTATATAAAGTTACTTATTAAATAATATAAAATTATAATATTATTATAATTTCACTGAAAGGACTTTACAACTTTTTCTATGTAAAAATTTTCATTTTTTAACTAATATTAAAGAGTACGAAAAATAATATAATATTAAAAATATTATAATTTTCAACGAATAATAAAAATAACAAAAAGGGACAAAATCCAAGCAAAAGTAGCATAATCAATATTTTACAATAAATTCTATTAATTCAGTCGATTTTAATACGTTCTCGGAGGATTAAACAAGCTCAGAACAAGGTGACCAACTCATGCACGTAATAGGATATTAAAATTGAAGGCTTTCAGTGTACAAAATTCACTTTGAGACACGAACTCAACTGCATCCCAACGAATGTTTTTACTTACATCTGCAAGTTGAGTTTTTCCCCCTGTGTGGGAATTTGCAAGTCCCTTTATCGGTAGCCCTCTTGAATTTTCAGCAGTAATCTCACAAAGCAAGTTTCCGGATAACTCGTAGCCCGCGTTCGCTATGTTTTGTTTTCAGACCTTATTGCCGTGTACAATCCGATAGAAGTTGGAAACAAAGGAGTATTAATCGGTGTAAATATCGCATCTCTTGTACGGGACTGCCACTGTTCTTTGTTTAATTCGATTTAATGGACAGGATGCTTCCAGTATTCCAAAGCTCTGCTTAATAATTAACAGTCAGCTTTCACTTTGCGTGTACGCGTCTTTCTTCAGATCTCTATGAATTTTAGTAATAATATGATCATGGAATAGAGGAATTAATTCGAAGCTGTCCGTAGCCATGATAATCTCTAAAGCTCTTAATATGATATTATATCTTCATATTTGTACAATCTCGGTGGATTTTAAAATTGTTTTATAACGAAATAGAGGACAGAAAATTACTGAAATATTAATCACGTTAAACATCTTCTATTTGAGTTTTCCTAATTAGATTTGAGGAAGTAGAATTATATACGATTATTGAATATTAACCATTGTAGTAGTACATGCAACTCACTAGCGCCATCACAGTTCATATCTCTAATAAATGTTTATCTTAAATATCGTATATATCGTTGAATTGTATTTTAATTAAATTGATATAATCTTCGAATTTTCTTTGTACTACGTGCATCAAATAGCTTACACGATATTAGTAATACAAATTTATCAACCATACGTGTACTCATAAAAGGGTTAATTAAATACAAATTATTAACTCAACTCAACTCAAGAAAATCAAATAATGCTTTCGAGAGAAATGTTACGTATCTGTTTATTATATTTTAGATGAATTAAAATTTATTTACGAGTTCATCATTTGTTTCGTTTTTCTTTTTTCACAGTTACAATATTTGGTCCCACCAGATCCGCACCACCTGCAGAACCTCCACCTAAAGAAGAAACGCCACCGGAAACAACGAAAACGTAGGTACCTCTAGCAGTAAATTTTTAAATTTAACACACCTAGATGCAATACCATAAATTGAATAAAAATATTGAAACTGAATACGACAATGAAAAATATTCAAACTCATATCATTATCAGAAACAATGTATAACTTTTACAAACAGTATAATTATGTAAAGAATGCAAAATTATTAATTAGTCAAATTATGATTTATAAAACTATTTCTCAACAATACGAACACATTATGTAATATAAATATATTTGAATTAATTCACGTAAGTTGTGATAAAATTGAAATATAGATGCTATATTTTGTATGACTACATTTCCTGTACTATATTATCGTGATATCTTTTTAATTAACAATAATAAGGAATGATTCTAACAGGCCTTACACGTTGCGAGTAATTAATGCTTAATGAAGACAGATATCCTATCTATTATGCATGGAGTTTATCTTTTTTCATAGATTGAATTACACTCATTAAGCGTAATTTAATTTCTAGAACGTAGTAATTATGCGACACGCACGCGTTCGCGAGCACGTAGAAAATGCCTGATTAAATCATTAAAGTTCCAATTATGCTTCCAATGTTTACCACACGGTGTGTCACGAATTGCACTAGATAATAAGAAATGTACGCAAATATCATCATGTAGATATATTGATTATTAATTTTTACTATTTATGTAATTTTTCCAATTTTCGCGAATAAAGATAAATTTTAAATGGAAAGAGAATGTGATTATTAACGGATTGATTAATTCTGTTTTATAAAAATTTGGAATCCTTAACACTTTGCACAATATTTTCAATATGAATAATTGCTATATTTAACAAAATTATTAAAAATAGTACAGAAACGGAAAATTCGGATACATATCGAAATTTAGTTTGTTATTTCTTCAGTTTTTCATTTATACTTCAGCATTTAAAGTACTAAATATTGCACACTATACATTATTTTATATTACAACTTTACTCAGTTTATTATTATTATTATTATTAAACCTTTTCTGTTCATTTTATTACCATTATTACTCTGTATATATTATTCTATATTATATATTACTTTTACTGCTATTATTATTGACATTAATTATTATTATTATCGGATAACTTCTTTACTCAGTTTGTTACTATTATTATCCTATATATTAAATATTGCACTCTATACATTATTTCATATTACACTATTACTCAGTTTATTATTATTATTATTACATCATTTCTATTCCTTTTTTTTACTATTATTACTCTGTATATATTATTCCATATTATATATTACTTTTACTGCTATTACTACCCATTATTATTGAATTTAATTAATATTATTATTAGATAACGTCTTTACCTCAGTTTATTACTATTATTATCCTATATATTTAAATATTGTATATTACTCTACATTATATATTACGTTTCACGTACAAATTATTAAATCTCAATAAAACGTAGTATATTACATTCATATTGCACATATGAAACTGATAGTCAAATTATAGCGAACTTACAAAATAATAAATATATATTTCTCTTTAAATACTCTTATTCCTACTATTTCTCTTTAAATACACTTATTCCTACTGCAAAAAAGCAGAACAACCAACAACAACAACCAAACAACAAATCCTCGCGAACGTTCGTTTTCCAAACCATGACCACGCTCACCCCTATCGAAGCGACTCGTCTCTTAGGGATACACGAACCCGAAACTTCAAAAGTCTCTTAACTCGGACGTTGCAGGAAGTCGAAGACCGGGGACGAGTGCAGGATTTGCCGGAAGTCGATCGCGCCTGAGGAAGCCTCGAGAATCTGCTGCGAGTGTCAGCACAAAATTTGCGAGGACTGCACTTGCTATTCTACGACAACGAATTCCGACGACCAGGTGAGCCCTCGTGGATGTCCTCTGCATTATTGCCGTCTATTTCGGGACAATCGATCGGTAATTCCGGCAATTAATTTCGGATACCTGCGATCCGATAATTCCGTTCCCACCTACGGGCAAAAGTGGATGCAATTCGAAAGATCTCGCGAAATGCAGGGCAGGGTGAAACGTGGAACTGGGTCGAGTTCTATCTGACGCTTGGACGGAGAATCAAAGAAGAGAGAAATAGGTTAAATCGTTTATCTTTCTGTCATTTCTTTTCGCTTTACGATAATGTACTCGTAGTCGAATACAGGTTTTAGTGGGACTAGAAAGGTATGTGTGTTTCATTTTTAAAGTGTATTCGACACTTGGAATTTTTGGAGGGAAGGTGGGGGTGGGTGTATTGGTAATTGCTAATTAATTGGGTGTGAAATGATATTAGTAAATAATGTTTCATATTTGGTATTAAATATTATATATTTATATAATATTAAATATTAATAA